TGCCATGTTTCCTGAACTGCATGATGATTCTGTTAACTGTCGAAAGCGGGATTCCCAAATTCTGCGAAATTTGTCGCTGACTTATTCCACCATCTGCTTGACCAACTATCCTTCCTCTAACAAAATCTGACAAATCGAGAGAACCTTGAGTTCTAGGCATGTTGTAGCACAAGATGATTAGTGTGCGGACCATTTTTATTTATATAGTGCTCTGTGAACACAAATTAGTTAGCATAAATCAGTTAAATGACGATAAATTAGGTGTCTATTTACTTGTGACCACTCAGTGTATAAAGAAAAATTCAAGTAACAAACCACGTATAGCTATCACATAGGAACTGCAACTTCGAGATGTATTAGCCCTCATCAGATATCAACGAAGTGTGTGTGTGTATACCTAAAATGTATAAATTATTTTGCACATTTAAAATTTTATCAACGTCCATTGGATAAACATGTGCGTCATCAGCCTAGCTGAGCAGATGGGACCTGATATAGCTAGAAACTACAGTTTCAGTGGGTGATGTTATGGGATTTGCTTCATCATATCATAAAATTAATTTTATTTAATGAAAAACGAAACCTTTCGGCATAAAAATCACGTTTACCGGTGAAATTGTGACGTTAATAAATATTTTGAAAGACTATTTTGAGCACCAAATTTCAAGCATTGCAATAACTCAATAATAATAATATACTATATTTAAAATAATTTCTTTTTATTCATTTGTTTTAGAAAACACAAGCAGGTGGCATCAAAAATGGGTTTAGTAGAACCTTGAAGAAGAAGAATTGGGAGACGTTTATCTTTGTAGTCAAAGAAACAGGTTAAATGCTATTACCTGAAGAACAAGGGAATTCTCAGAGGGGAAACATGAAACCTTCCTTTTTGTTTCCGACAGAACAAAATAGTTATAAAAATTGCACCAGAATATATCTGTTTGTTTTGGTGTGTTTTAAGACAACACTAATTGTTATAAATGCGTGTTGAAGAATGAGCAGTTTTTATTTATTTATGTTGTAATAAAGAGTCAAGGGCTGTGCTGCTTGATTGTTCCTGAAAACAAAATATTACATACACACAGAAAAAAAAGAAAGAGAATCTTATTTAATGTATACCAATATTTTTCTTATTCTTTGGTAACTAAAATAACATTCATATGTGCATGTTTTCCTTTGTATTTAATAAGCTCTGACATTTGTGGCTTTGTCAGTAATAAGCTTATCGGGAAATATCATTGATACTTTCGATTAAGCTTTGTAGTCCATAATCAATTAGTTATCGTTCACTTACTGTGTCATAAATATTTGCATCTCCTGTACTAGATGAACACATTCTAAAAATTAAAAGTTGATCGAAGCAAACACGAGAAAAATATAGCAGGAATAAATAAACAGAAGTAACTGATACTGGTCTCGTTGCTGGATTAAAACACGTTGTAATACGTATTCTAAGGCAGGAAACATAGTGTTTTGATACAAAACCTTTGTTTTCTTCATGAAATTCTCCTTGACTTGGAAGTATTATATATGATTTCCAAGTCCTGAAACTATTGTAATAATAGCTTAAAATTCTAGATCAAACCTTGAAAATAATTTAATGTCTTTAGAACTTTCAGTAACTATAGAATTCCAAAAACTATTATAAGAAAAACGTAAATCTTCGTGTAACATAAGCTATAATTTTTAAATTGTGTTCGTAATTTAATAATATGAATCCGAAGACAATATATACCAACATCGTCTGGAAGTTGAGAAATGTAAATGGTTTTACAAGTTTCGCTCTTTTAGTCAGGATTTACAATGCTCAAAATCGCAAAGACCCATAGATGACATGATGCTGACAAATATTGAATTATTCTTAACATTAGATCAAAAAATATGATATATATTTACCATAATCTCATCTAAAACCTCAAACACTTTAGTTTTGTTCCCCATCTGAATGTATCATGTTTTATTATTTTAGTAACTTTAATTCAAAAGCTTCGATGTATGTGCAAGAAGCATTATAAACATCTAATTATAGGCGATTAATGATATAGTTTAAATGGACCAGTAACACACGATGTGTTTGTTTCGGGTAATGACAGTTTCACTTTCATAAGATGATAGTTTGTGAAGGGATTTATGTTACTAGAGTTAAAAAAGGAACAGGCAAATTTACATCTGTTGGTTTACTGGTTATCACATCAGTTTAAAGTTATATTAGTGTTTTATTTCTTATGTAATCGATAACAACTAAACATCATACGAAATAAGTTATTGGCCTGATAAACAGTTAAATATCAATTTTATGATACACAAAGAACATAAATTTAACAAAAGTGTTTTCCAAAACGGGTTCTTTTCGTTACATTGGCAAATTTGGTTGTCAGCAAACATTTTTAGAAAAGTAAAAAGTGGTCAAAGAGACCATTACATTGGCATCAGAAATAACCACATTAATTTTTAGTTTTAACATTTGAGAAAAGTAGATTTTAAGTATCGTATTATCAATACAAATTTTGTTCAAATGAAATTCGATTTTTGAAATTTGTAAAAAAAAATCCCCCGGATGAAGTTTTGTTCTCATATTCATAATAATAATTTAGGAAAGAGATTTTAGTTATCCCATTGGCATCATTATTTATTCAGTAAAATTTATTTCTATCTTAGTAACACTAGTTAGTTTGATTATCACATTACCCTTAAGAAGCTTATGATGAAAAAGTTTTACTCATCAATCGGAGATAAAGTGTAAGAAAATTTAATTATATCATGAAAATCAACGATTACGTAAAAGACATTTTTGGTTATTATGTTGATAACTGTGACTAAACAAGGATATTTTAGTTTTATCGTAGAAAATAGCAATTGTACTGCATGCTGAGTTTGAATACAAGTCATCTAAATGTTATGGTGTATATTTTAGCTATCGTTTTTGTAGTTTGCAATTCAAAGGATGTTTTAAGCATTCACAAAAAACGCGTGTAGTTCACATTTACATTAGTAGTATTTTGTGTTCTTGTTTAAAATATATGTTAAAATAATGCTATATGCATATATATATATACTTGTTCACCATTGCATGTGAAATATGACCATTTTCTCTATAAACAGCTTCGTTGTTTGAATTTTATGGCCTGTCTCAAGAACAACCGTTTCACTTACTAATATTATATATGAATGTTTGTTTATATGTATATCCAAATTCTCGTGTATCTGAATTTTAAGTGTTGTATCAGGTTCAATGAATGTATTAATAAACACCAGTGGCAAACACCAAATATGTTATGCATTTCTCAGCTGTTGCATGTAATATTAAATTTGTATTGTTGTTCATTGCATAAAAAGACCAATTTCAGCAATTTTTAAATAGTTACATCTTGGTCTAAAAAAAAACAATAACCTTCATTTAACGAAGTAAGTCGTCTTTTCAAGCTATGCTTGTCCAGATTGTTTAACGTTGTTTTATCACATACTGTGTTCATATCAAAATTCGTCTAAAGTTGTAAAGTTGGAAATAAATACGTGTTCCGAAAAGAAGTATTACTTTGACATCAAGTGACGAAACACACAAAAGACTCGGAATGATAATATCGAAGAATTCAGAGTTTAAAACTTGAATAATTATCTTTGCCTTCCATAGAAACAACATATGTAAATTAAAGGTTACAATATATTTGCCTTTTAAATAATTTTATTGTTTGGATATTCATAAGTAATAATGTCAAACAAAAACCCTTCTTTCTTAACTTTTTCATCTACAAAACTATAATCTATAATCTTTTTCGCACCTTGATTCCAATGCTCTAACAGTATTTGTGGTTTTCTTTAGAAATTTCTCTTCTTCCTAGCATTAAGTGTACCTTAAATAACTATTTCTTTAACTTATTTATAATTACTTTAGACAGTTTTATTAAAAGAACTCCCAAACATGTTTATTTTAAAATTATATAACCTGCAATACAAAATAATAAAATCATATCTTTTCAAGCGAGAGTTGGAAAAAAACATTACACGAAAGTACTTATTCTAAAATACATATAATATACAATATAAGGACAAAGGACTTGTTCGTCCATATAGGCCGTCTCATCCACTGTACTAAACTCTAAAGTAAAAATTAACCACTCGAAGTCTTTTTTCATGCAAATAGTTATCAAGCTTTACATTTAAAGTTCAATATCTGAAGCAAATTTATTTATCGAGGTCTTATATGTAAAACATATTTTAATCCAGTGACTAATAACAAAATCCACACAAAAAGAAAGACGATTCACTTAATTATGACGACCTTTGTTACATGCGAAGTGATTTATTATATATATATCCCAAAATTTGACAAAAAGAAAATAATACTTCAGCTACTTACTTGTTAAAGAATGCACAGTTGTAATCTCCGTGAGCTTAACCGTTAGTGTTTTTTATTTGCGAGTCGTCACGTATTTTCATTTGTTAGCAAGCAAGTAGTGGATTAAACTGACCTTGAAAATAATTTTGACTGAAGAGTCTTGGTGATTAATTAATCTCCTCTGACCAACGTATATCTAGTTGCCTAAGAAGTTTACTCCCTCATCAATAATCCTTCTAAGTATAGGATTCAATTCAGCTATACAATTAGGCCTCTAAGAACTTCTCAGGCAATTTTTGAATTGTAACTTCCTGTTCAAAGAAGATTCTTACTCACAAAACGAAAACTTCCAATCAAGTAAGGATTCAGTTAAGCTCTAAATTACTACTTTCAATAATTCATGAGTCATGACATTATTTTAACTTTCAGAGGAATCCTCATAAAAAAGGATTAAGAAAGATTAACTTGAAATATCTGAAAATTAGTTGGATCATGAAATGGGTTTATTTACAACTCTCTTGGGTTAGAAAATACAGGAATAGAATTATGTCAGAAATATCTGAATCACAAAAAGATTTTCGACGTGAATCACCTGACAAATTCACTCGCCACTCGCAAAAGTAGAAACTTCGGTTTTTGAAAAGGATACTGAATTATAAGTAGGATTTTTTGGGTATTTAATATTTTCAACATAAAAGCACCTTATGTTATACATGTGTTAAGCGACCGGATCAAAGACCCCAAGGTTCGGACAAGGTTCCCTCACTTAGAGCTTTAGAAAAAGCAACCAATCAGCAGCCCCAACTGTCTACATGGCTATCTTGACTCAATAGCATGATTGACATTCACTTTTACAAAATGTTCACAGCCCAAAGTGTGAAGAGTGTTCGGCAGCATATCTCAAGAACTGTCCTTGAATATTCCAGTTCAGAGTCTGACACACTAACTACAAACGTTAGTCCTGCCCGAATTTGTCTAATAGTTTGAAAGATATTTTAATGCCTAATAGAGAATCTCCATTAGAAAATAAATTCATTGATTTGAAAAATTGGTGACGCATTTATTTATCTTATAATCTGCCAGAATATGTTACTCGTTCACTGAAACTGTGAAAGTAGAAAGCTACTTATCAGACGACTGTACGATCCTATAGGTAACCTCAAGTAAAAAGATATGTATTTGAAGACGAAGTTTCAAAATACTTCTGTCTTTCATCTTCATTCAATTGAGTTGATTTATTAAATTTTGAATCACTGGATATTTTCTTTGATAAAACATATATATATATAATTATCCCTAACCTTTTACTACGTAGAAGTAGACATACGGTCAAGGAAATATTAGTAGTCCTGTGTACGTCTAATAATTGCACATGTATCTTTGTTTTGAATTGCACTTTTGATGGTGTAGAGTTTGACTAAATTATTTTGTTTTCCCTTTATAGGTAGAAATACAATTATCTATGCCCCCCCCCCAGTGGCACAGCGGTACGTCTGCGGAGTTACAACGCTAGAAACCGGGTTTCGATACCCGTGGTGGGCAGAGTACAGATAGCCCATTGTGTAGCTTTGTGCTTAATTCCAAACAAACAAACAACAATCATCCATAAGCTGAAGAATTTTTATACAACTATTATTGAACTTAATTGCTTGTAATATTTAGCTAATTTTTACTTCAACATTAAGATAACAAATACTTAATTTTATATAGTAAATTCATAACCGCGCTTTTCTATCAAATGTACAATAATTGCACGTTGGTTTTAGGAACAATTCTAATGCTCTATGTTGGTTTACGTTTCATCTGAAAGAATTCAACCGACACTATAAAATATAACGTGAAAATTTCGTAATTTATGACTTGTATGCTGGGAAGAAATATTATAGAACAAATCTTTTTTTTATTTGAAGTGGTCTACGTGGTTGTCAATCTATGTGCAATAGAGTGAAAAGCTATGAATGCCAAGTAGTAAAAAACGTGTTGTTTACAATGGATCTAAAGCTGTTCTCGGTAAGGAAATATTTGTACTTGAAGTACAGGATCCATATGATTCCTCAGAATTTTGCATTCAAAGTGAAGCGTTGAAAGACAATATATTTGGTATGAACCATTTATATTTGTCAAAAAGAAACTAGAACATTTTATTCTAATGTTGAATTATCTCATGAAATCTATATTGAATATTTTTGATGCATAAAATATTGATTCAAAAAGTAAAATGTCGTGGTATACATGATGCTATTATCAGTTTGGCAGTGAATAAGATTGAAATTAATTTAATGATCCTGTTGTTACTTCACGTATATGTACGTGTGCATCATCAATAACACCAGCCCTGATTATTTGCTAACTTGTTAAGATAAATGAAGGCTTTAGTAAAAGTATATGTTTATGTCCTTTCTCAAGTCGAAGTGAAGTTTATTATGACCAAATATGAGTTTAAAAAACGTAATATCGTAATATGTGTGTATGAGAGAAGTGAATTCCTGTACATGAGTAACCGTATGCATTAAATCCAATATGTTTATAGCACCAATAGGTATGTTTGCGTGATGTTAGAAACTTCATAGCTAGTCATAGTTCATTATAAATATTCTGATATAGTATTTTAGCAGTTCAAAATAAGAAACAGTAATACATTATTCTGAGTACTGTTGAAGAATTTGGTATGTATACTTTCATATTCAGTTTTACCATGAGATCCCATTATTCATGGAAAGCTACTAATAGTAAAGTAAATTGGACTAAAAGTCATATCAGAGACCATGAAAGAATACAAATCTGTAGGTAAACTAAGTATCTCTCTTATACAGAATCTTAAATATAGAAAACAATGGCATTATCTGAAAAAAGTAATGATGTGGTAGAATTGTTATGTGTGGTACAAACAATTGAAAGTACAAGGACAAAGTTATAAGACATTGGAAATCGCAAGCTTAACAGCATGCTGCCTTATTTGTTCACTGAAGATGGGAGATTGAGATCACAAATGACAAAATCCAATCTCGTTAAAGCTTTCAAAAAGGAAATAATTGTCCATTCTGCAATGGTACTTCTATCAGATGAAGTAAAGACTGCCTTAGTAGTAGATGCTATGTGTGGCATATGCCACTGGTCATTTTAGTAAGATGAAACAAGTATATCTTCTGGATAGAGAATGTTATGGTAGTACTCTAATTCTACAATTCTACTGTGTTTGATACAAAATACTCATTTCAAACATGAAAAATATCATAATAGATGTGGAAAGTATTCTGCTAAAGTCTATGAAGTAAGTTACTGGTAAAATACACCCACACCTCCCGACATCTTCTTAGCTTCCACTAATAAAGCTTCTCTGCTATAGTACTTGTGTAATAAATGGGCTGAGGATTAAATACCCCATCCATTTCTTTTTCTCACCTTGCAAACCCTTTCCTTTATATCAGCTTACAATGTCACATAACCATATGGGTTCTATAACCTCTATGGTGGCTGAACAAGAAGGAGGGCGACTCACTCCAATATGTTTCTAATGACTTAAGAGTGCTATAACCCCCCCACCCCCCTAATTCCTTAGATACTCACCAAAAGCTGGCTATTTTCTCATTTCTCTCAACTCTAATTAATGTCCCTTATATTTAATTTTCTAACACTCTGAGAGACCCACACGATTCTCTCTTGTCTGCAGAAATTTAAGGCAAAATATCGTGTCTCAATTATTAGTATTCTCTCTTTAATTTTACGAGTCACCATGCATGGCAATCACGTGGGTGCACGTTTGTTCAGAGGCAAAATATCGTGTCTCAATTATCAGTATTCTCTCTTTAATTTTACGAGTCACCATGCATGGCAATCACGTGGGTGCACGTTTGTTCAGAGGCAAAATTTTCTCTCTAAGGTAGCCTCACAACAAATACTCAACTGGCCCCTACCTAAACTGTTCAATAAGCT